GTCTCCTTCTCCCGGTCACGTCACGTCAGGGTGGGCACCGTGGGCTGGGAACTACGGTCTAAACCAGAACCCTCCGCGGGCTTGTGAGCAGCTGCGCGCGGCCCCTGCACGTCTGCTTCAGTAGGTTCGCAGTGGGACCCACGAAGTACTTCCCACAGCATCCCCGTGATGCCGCGCAGGGAACCGCCTGGCTAGTCGATGGCTCTCAGCCCTGGCTGCACATTGAAATCCCCCGCGTGGCTTTGAAAACCACCAATGCCTGGGCCACACCGGAAAGATCCTGCTTCCTTTGGTCTGGGGTGAGGCCTGAGCGCCGGGGATTTTGAAGGCTTCGCAAGGATTCTAACCTGCAACCAGGCTGAGAGGCACTGGGCTGGCTGATCGCGAGGTCCCTTCAGTCTGAGTGTGTGATCTTCTCAGGGAAGAAGGGCAGGAAAGGCCTGAGCTGGGCCAGGACCCCGGCCCCCATCCACCCCACCCCTGTGGCCCCACTGGGCCCTCCTCTGCCTGCTGCCCTTGCTAGCAAAGCACAGAGCTACAAACACAGGGAGGCCAGCAGGGAGTTTGAAGAAGAAAAGCTGAGAGCAAGACTTACCTCAAAGCCAGGAATGTGGTGGATGGCCGGCTAGAGGGAAGGAAAGAGCTCTCTCAGGTGCTGGTCACTCAGGCCCCTCACCTTCCCTTCTGCCCTGGCCAGGCAAAGCCATCGCCAACCACAAAACAACACTCGTGGCATATGCCAGTGATCAGACAGTCCAGGGGTCTGCACGCTCTCTTCCTCAGAGGCCTGGGGTCCCTCAGAGCTGCCTGGGAGTTGGAGGCAGGGTGCACGGGAACCAGGCTGGCATAGGCTGTGTCCCTCTCCAGACACTTCACCTGGAGCAGCCCCACTTCTATCTGGCTAATACATTGGGGTTCACATCACACTAAGAGCAAGTTTGATGATTTGGTTCTAATGCCAACCCCCTACTTTACAGCAGGGAAGGGGCTGGCCTGGGATCACAGCTGGGCTGTGGCACAGCAGCACTGGAACAGGGGACTTGCCCTTCCCTGTCCTTGGAGTCCACCACCCCCACCACCACCACCACCACCACAATTAAGGCCCTGCGCCCCAACCAGAAACAACCTCAGGATATGACCCTGGGGAAATACATCCAATGGCCAGAGGACTCAGAGATTCCAGCATTGGACCCCACAGTTAGAGTGTGTCCTGATTTGGGGTTCAGAAAAGATGGCTGAGACCCGTCTCAGCAGGAGGCCTGACTTCCCTGCAGTGGTCCCCACTGTCAGGCCCCCGGTGGAGGGAGAGGATGGCTCGGCAGCCCCCTGCCTTCCACAGGCTGACCCTGCCTGTGTCCCCCCCCTCCCCGCGACTCCTCCACCAGGTACTCCCCGCCTCCTGGATCTGGACGTGGCCCAGCCTCACCTTCTCTCTCTGGATGAGCTCAAAAGAGGCCAGCAGCTCACCTGCCGGCTGGCTTCCCCGAGTCAGGGGGAACCAGGCCAGCCGGGGCATCCGGTCCAGACTCGGCTGACAGATGCAGCGTCCCATAAACTCGTCTGCACCCTGGACAGGGAGTGGAGAAAGAAGAGTCAGCATCCCCAGCCCAGGGCCCTGGTGGCCTCAGAGGGATCGTCAGACCCACATCTGGCCTCTGAACCCTAAAGGGCAGCCCCTGGCGCTGAATGGTGAGCTCTGCCCCCTTAAAAGGATTATTCGAGAACAACGTGCAGTGGCCCTGGTCACTGCTGCTAGATGTGAATTCCCGTCATGGTCGGGGAGGAAGAGCCTCTGCAGGTCCAATTAGCAGGGCCTTGTTTTAATTTAATCAAACTCTAAGCCAATTAGAGACCAGAGTAGCAGGATCCTGGTATTTCTCTGACGCCCTCACAGACGAGGCATTTGATAGTTCCAAGGACTTTTGTTTCTCCTGTTCATTTCACCTTTAAATTCTACCACCTTCCAGGTAGAGAAACTGATCACACTCATCGAATTATATGAGTCTTGCAGAAATGATGTTTCGTCCTTTGCTCGGGCACTTTCCATGGCTCCCCACTGCCTAGAGGAGAGAGTCCAAACTCTTCCCCTGGGATGGAAGGCCCCTCCTGGAGCCTGCTCACCTCTCCTGCCCTGTCTTTCCCTCCTGGCACACCCTAAACTCCAGCCTGCTGGTCCTGGCTGGTCTCTCACCGCTGGCCTTTGCATGGGCCGGTTCCAGCCATGCTGCCCTCTACCCTGATTAGCCATGACCCACAGCCCTGCCCAAGCTCAGCCCCCGACATGGCCCTCCGTGACCTCGCTGGCCTATGGCCAGCTTTCCCAAGGGCAGAGGGAGGGCACAGAACGTGGGTCTCAGCCAGCTGGTGCTGCAGCCCTCACAAGCCCTGGCGATTTGCTCAAGGCCCTCCTCTGGAGAAACCCAGAACAGGACTGGGAGTGCAGTCACCTCCCTGCGGGGGACATCCCAGAGAGCCATTCTGGGGTAGCCACCAGCTGCTGCATAAATGCCCAGATCATCAAATGACAGTCCAGCAGCAACCACTCAGAGTGGACGCCAGCCCCAGCCCTGGGAGGGCTCCTGAAGGCTCCTCTGGGCAGGTATTGTCCTACCGATGGGTCACAGAGAGGCTGGGGTAGGGGAATCCGTGCAGAGCTCGGGCAGCCAGGACAGCAGGAGCTCAGGGTATGTGCGACAGTACAGACTTGCTTGACTATATTAACAATGAGCACAGCCCCTGCTCTCCCCCAGGTCCCTGGAGCCCACCCACCCAGAAGAGGTCATGGCTGCACCTGCTCCTTCAGCCCAGGACCTTCCTGGTCCTCCTACCTCCCTCCCCCTGCTGCAAAGGCGCCAGGCCCTGTGCTCTTCTCCCAACAATCCCAAATAGACTCCAGTTGCTCATCCCCCCACCCCACTCCCAAAGAGCCGGCTTTTCCTTCCAAAGGAAGAGCTCGAAGGCTGACTCCCCAGCCCAGGTCTGCACTGCCCACTGCCAGCTGGCCCCCACCACCTGGAGGCACCCCAAACAGCTTCACCTTCCCCACCCCCATCTCCACACCCTCCCAGGGCACCTGACATTCGGTCATGGCAACTCTTTCTGGAAACATTTTCAAAACCCTGCCTCCTCCCCTTTCATCATACTGCTGTCCCCAACCTAGGAGGTGACCTCTTTGCCACATGCCCCATCAGCTGACATAGTCTCTCTCATCTCTCCTCTTTTTAAAACGTTACTGTGACCTGTCACTCTCCTGCTCCCCTGGCCTCATTCTCTGTTCTCTTCCTTCCCCGCCTGCCCTCCTCTCTCCTCGGTCTCCCACTCACCCCAAGGCTGCTTCCTCCCAACACCCACACCCGATCCCACATTTCCTCCAGGGCTGCATCTTCCCCACAGGCTTCTGCACATCCAGCCCACCTGGGAACCTTCCTCAGCCGTGCTGCCCACTACCGGAGCCACTAGCCACCTGCAGCTATTTACATTTAAAGCTTGATTAGTTCCAACTAAATGAAATTCAAAAGTCAGTTTCTCAGTTGCATTAGCCACATTTCAGCTGCTCAATAGCCACATGTAGCTAGTGGCTCCCAGAGCATTTCCATCAGCAAAGGACACGCTGTGGGCAGCTCTGCTAGAGGGCCTGCCTATGCCTCAGAGCCACGTGGCACTCAGGGACCCACTGTCTCCCTGGAGGGTTCTCTGTCTGTGGGTGCGTCTCAGCTCCCACCTAGACTGGGACCCCAATGTGAGGGGCCACCCAGCCCAGCACAAAGTGCTTAACAAATGTTTGTGGCGTCAACACAGGACGCTGATGAGGAGAAGGGACTGGCCTGGGGCCCTGTAAGCAAGTTAGAGGCAGAGAAAACCCCGGCTTGTGGGCCGCAGCCAGCACCTTCCTTTCCAGACCTGTCCCCTCTCTCTGCTGTGGGCACAGCACGGGCGCTACCAATCCCGTTTTCGTTCCTCTAAAATAGTTCTGACCACGCTGCAGTCTGTGGGGCCAGGGCAGAGGCATCAGTCCCAGCCTCAGGGGGCACCCATCTGCTTGGGGAGCGTTCCTCACGGCAGCGTCCCTCCCGGGGCCCCTGGAGGAAGTGGGCAGTGAGGGGACACAGGAAGGCAGGAGGCTCACATAGGTGTCTTGGTCGTACAGCTCCACCACGATGCTGGGCGGCTGCTCGGCGATGGTGGCCGGCTCGCCGAAGATCTCGATCTCGTAGAAGATGAGCGTCTGGTCCCAGGTGGGGTTCAGGGTGTTCTTCGCCACCACCGTCTTCTGGCTCTGGTGCAGGAAGGAGACGATTGCGTAGGGATCTGTGGGCGGGGGAAGGGACGGGAGACAGGACACAGCAGAGACCATGAGAACGGGCTGCTCAGGAGTCACTCAGGCCACAGAGCTGGAGCAGAGCTGTGCCTGCCCGGCTGGTGCTACAGCGTCAGGTGGGCGCCCATTTCCCGGGCTCTCCCTGACCTCCAGGAGCGGGCGGGGTGGGCCACCACGGGGAAGTGGAGCCTGGATCCAGGCAAGAGGGCACAGTAACCCAGAGAACTTCCCCTTCTGGGCTCCTTCTGGGGCTGATCCCCAGGGGGCAAGGTCCAGTTAGAAGAAGTGAGCCCCTGGATGGCTCACTCATTAGTTCATTCAGTCATCCAACAAGCATTTATTGAGTGCCTTCTGTATGCCGGGCTAGAGGCTAGGGGCTGAAAATGCAATTGAATCAAAGCCACAATTCATACAAACAAACATAAAATTACCATTTTGGTCAGTTCTTTGAAGACTAGAGATAAGGTGCAGTCGAGTGTGTGAGGAAGAGACCTGGCTTCTTTGAGGAAGGGGGGTGGGTAGAACAGAGATGTCGGTGCCATCAGCATAGCGTGCCTAGGCTGCATTTCAGCAAGCTCACTCCGGCTGCCACACGGAGGGGGTAGAAGTGAGTGCGGGGGGACCAGGTATGAGGCTACTGGAAGAGGCTGGGCAGAGATGGTGGTGGCTTAGATGGGCGGGGAGGCACCAGAGAGAAGCACATGGACTCAAGAGCTGTGGGTGGTGTGAGAGGAACCCTAAGAGCCCTGCAGCTTCCTACTGTCCCCAAACTCCTCTCCCGCATGCCAGCCCCAGCCATGCTGGCCGGAGACCCAGCCACTAGTCACTCCCTCTGCCTAGTCCCACAGGGAAGGTTGGAGTCACTAGAGAAGATTCTAGCGCAGTGGTTCCAAGTGTGAACATGCAGCAGAACCGCCTGGAAGGCTTACACAAGCTGCTGGGTCCCACCCAGAGACTCATGCTTCAGGTCTGGGCTGGGGGCTGAGAATCTATAGTTCTAACAAGATCCCAGGTGGTACTGATTGGCCCCCAGGGCCACACTTTGGAAACCAATGCAAGAGAAGGGCCTATGAGACCGAGTGCATGTAATTTACAAGAGGAGCAGAGGGCCTGGAGAAGGGGCTCCCAAACTTCTCCCATTAGGGCATCAGCCTGGGGGAGGGGTCCAGTTGGCTGACGTTTTATAAGACTCAAAATGCCAAATGCTGAGGGCACGTGACAGCAAAGTCTAGGGATGCAGGAGGCTGGCAGCTGGGTGCTAGATGTATTGAGAAGGTGGAGCCCAAATGCTCTAACACATGCCCTATCCCCTTTGCACCTGCTCCATCCTGCAGTACCTTGCACCCTCTGAGCCTCACAGTCCAACCCAATGCCGTCCCTAACCCCACACGTGGCCTTAAAAGGGCTTCAGAGGTAATGGCTCTGCCCTGCTGGCCTCGGAAGGGTGCTGGGATGTCCACCTGCAACCCTGGGGCTGGGATGGGGAGACAGAATTTCCCCACAAACAGGAGGTGAGCAGGACATGCTCCTTGGCCTGAAGAAGACCAAATGGCACACCATGGCCACTGCATAGGAGGTGGCAGAGAGTGACAGTAGAAGAGGTGAGGAGGTTGAGGTGGGCAATGCAAGGACTCCCATTATGGGATGGAGGGAGCAGGGTCTAAGATTCTAGCTGTCACCCACGGGGCCAGGTTTAAGGGAGAAGAGGATCTAAGTTAGGAGGCAGAAGCTGTGGGCTGAACAAGGACAGGTTTGGCTAACAGGAGGCAGCCACCAGCCTCGATGAGCTCCTCAGCCTCAGGCACAAAGGCACTATGGGGTAAATCTTGGAGGACTTCCTGCAGGAAACTGGTTTGGAACCTGATTCTGGGGGTAGAAGAGGGCAGTAGGAGGCTCTTGGCAGGGGAGAAAGGCTACCACATCTCACTACCGCTACGTGGTGGGAGCCTCCCTGGCATGGGGCTCCCCCTTCCATGCACCAGCCTGGCAGGGCTGGCCCGAGCCCTTCCCTTCCTGCCCCTGGCAGGGCCCAGCGGCGTCTGTGCATTTAATGAAACCGTCTGGCTGTGATACCATCAGCTCCAAGCTCGGCAGAGAACCTCTCCCTGGTTCCAGTAAGGGAAAGAGGGAGCGTTCCGATAAATAAAACCATATTAGAGAGCCGGCGAAAAAGCCCCTTTTGTTCCCACCCCCTGTGCTTCCCAACGCTTTATTTTTATAAGCGTGCGAGCCCCAGACCGACCGCGTTTACACAAAGATCACAATTGCACATTGTAGCGGCTGTGCACACTGTATTGGTGTTGGCAGCACCCCCCACGCTGGCCCCTGAGCAGGCCGGCTCCTTCCAGCAGGCCCATCAGCACAGCAATGAGCTCAGCGCGGGGGGACGGGAGGGGGTGGCTTTCAAACAAAAATCACCCAGACCCACACACGCGCCCCGCCCGCCCATGGGAGGAAAAAACACACAACAAAGGCATTGTAAAGAGCAGGCCTGGAGGCCTGGGGCCTCAGACACTGGGCTACTGTGTGCTGGGGCCTGGCCTCTCCCCCCCACAGGGGCCAGCCCCTCCAAAAAAAAGAAGCAAGTGGGGGTGGGTGTTGCTGAAGCAAGGTGGTCAGATGAAGGCAAGCCAGACAGACGCACAGACACATCCCTCTTCCAGGAAAGCCCAGAGCAGGGAGGAGCAGATCCCAAGGAGAGGCGAAGGAGGGGTGAGGGCCATCTCTTCCCTGTCCGCCCAGCCCCGTGCTCTCTGCAGGGCCACCACTCCCACAGGAGAGGCCGGCGCGAGCCCTCAGGCCTTACCCGCCAGGCCAGCCAGAGTGCCACCAGAGCTGAGGCGAAATGCGGCTGGACTGGAGCTCCCTGAGGACCACAGCTGCCCTGGGACGCTCTGGCCCTGATCACAGAAGGTCCTGCCGGACTCCATCCCCAGGAGAGGCCCAGGCAGGTGATGCTTCTCTGGACCTGGGGTCCTGCACCCCAGCTCTGCCGCTCAGACCCTCCTGGAGCTCCAGGGCGGACACTTCTGCGTTCCCCATACCCTAAGCTTTCCTCGTGGGCCTTCCACCAACCAGCTCAGAGCACCCAACTAGGGGCCAGGGCAGGTAGCATCACCCCACTTGCCAGAGCGGGAGCTTTGCCCCAGGAAGACTAGGTCACTAGCCCGTGCTCACGCATGGCCCGGACTGAACACCATGACTCCCAGCCCAGTGCTCCTGCTGCCATGTTTACAGGGTAAGGGTCCCTAAGAGAGCAGACTTCGTCACAGTAAGGCGCTGCACATGAAAACTGTAAGACAGCGGTATTTTTGCTATAAAATTAAGAAAAATTGTGTAGATTTATAAAACCCAGCGTTGGCACATGTTTGATGAACTAGGTGTGCTCCCCTTCATTGCTGGATGCAATTCAGCAGCTCTTCAGGAAAGCAATTGGGCAGCGTGCCCAGGAAAACACAGCACTGTTTATACCCCGTTTCCCATATTCCTGGGCATCATCCAAATTAACCAAAAACCTATATGTACAAAGATGTTCACTCCAGCGCTATTTGTCATCCATCATTCATTCAGTATACAATGATTGACTAACCACATGTGGGAGGGAAGCACGGGGCTAGGAATATGAAGATGAATGAGACACGATCCAGGCTCTTAAGATCACGACTACCGGTTAGAAGTGGTCACTAAACGACGGTTACAATACAAGGAGATGTGCAACTTAACGGCGGGGCGTATAAGGTGCCGGGGTGGGGGTGGGGGGTGCTGGGTGTGGCCTGGTGACACTAAGTCAGTCTTCCCACAGGTGGTCGCCTACCCTGCATCTCCAACAAGTGGGAGTTCCCAAGGCAGACCAAGGAAAAGAGGGTGTGGAGGCACCCAGCACAGGTGACAAAGGCTCCAAAGAGCACAGACACGTGGGAAACAGCAAGGAGTTGGTCTGGTTAAGGGGAGGAAGAAGAGGGCGCAGGGCAGGGGGACAGAGGAGGGAGGAGGAGGGGGCAGATCACGCACGGTCCTGGATTCCCGCTGAGCAGTTTGGACTGAATCCTATGTAGATAGATCAACGTCTCCCAAAATGTGTTCTTCGAAATGTGCGTTCTCTGGGGAGCTAGTGAGCGCTCAAACAATCACACAGGCCCCTTCTGCGGCCGCCGCCGCGGAGCCCCTCAAGGCCACGGCGCACTGTAAATCTCTGTGTGCAGCGTTCCCCAGCCTCTCCTGCTCAGGAACCCTTTGTAAGTGGAGCATTTCACAAGCCTCCCATGCACTTTGGAAAACAGCTCCTTAAGCTCAACTAGAAAATTCCCCCAAGCAGAGCCAGCCTTCCCTGAACGCTGTGCTTCAGAAGAGGGGGTGGGCCCTGACTGGAGTCCAGACACGGGGAGCCCAAACATAAGAATGTCCCAGCCCCACCCAGGACAGGGCCTGCATCTGGGGGGCGGGGGGGGATGAAAGCCCTGTCCCCACAGAGTGAGCTGCCCAATGGCGGGGCAGCCGCAGGTCATCAGCCCTCACCGAAGACGGGCCTCGCAGCACCATCCTCAGGACCACCCCACCAGTACGGCTCTGACTCCCCCAGAACCACGAGAGCAGCAAAGAGGACACAGGAGCTTTTTTTCTTGACAGACACGCCACCCCAGCACCTGGGCTGCTCACCATCTCTCACTCTCGTGTTTAGCCAGGTCAGGCCCCCGGAGCCCCCTTACCTGCGGGGCTCTCAGAGACCGTCTCTGGGTCCCTCGTGCTAAGGGCCATTCTCTGGACTGTGGTGACCTCAAAACAGCGTCTGTCTTGGTGGCAGTTCTGCAAGCAGAGCTTATGGTTCCCTCAAACCACAGCAATGTTGGTACCCAACTGGGGGAGAGCAAAGCAGAATTCCATGGGGGACAATTGGGAAAGGCAGACAGCTGCCCCCCACCCCCTAATTCCCGGGGAAGAGATGCTGCCCAGCAGGTCTGGTGTGAGGACATGTGAGCCCTAAGTCCGCTCCATCTTTTCCATCCAAAGTAAAGCCAGTGCCTTCTCCAGGTGCCCCCCAGGGGTGGCAGCCCCAGCCCAATATCACAGAGGTCATCTGAATTAAACCTCACTTTACATTTCTATGCCTACTCGCCACACGGCCACACACCCATAACCACAGGCCACACGCGCCCCTCCCGTGGTCCAGAGAATTGTGCTGGACGTCCACTCAGCCCCACCCACGGCGAAGCCCTCGGGCAGCCCGGGCGGCAGTATCTCCACGAGTCTCCCTCTCCTGACTGAGTTTACTATTATTCGACCAATGTTTCCTGGGAAATTCCTGTGTGTTCCCCCAAACCCTCGGCCAGGGAGAAGGAAGCAGACACAGCCGGGTCTCCAGGCAGTCCCAAGGCCCACAGACAGGGGACAGGCGGGAGCACAGCTCGGGGCCACTGGAGCCCACCCCTGCGGGGCAAGGCCCAGGGCACCGCCGGTCAGAGTGGCCGAGGGTTCCAGACCCCCGGCAGGCAGGCCAGACCATACGACCCGAGACAGACTTTGCGCTGGACCCTCCCGGCCCCAGACACTCTGGATTCACACAGGAGTTTCCTCTGAGAAATGCCAGCCGGTGGCCATACACAGCCCCGGCCGCCAGCCGCCCCAGGGTCAGTTCCAGGGGAGAAATTGCTCTGGTTTAGGGGTTGGGAGTGAAAATAAACACTCTGGGTTTTATAGGTTCACCCGTGTTGGCTGCTGTTTTCCTTTCCAGCAGCTGCTCAATCAGGCCTTTCATTCAGAAGCCAGTGGCCTCTGAGGAAGCCCTGGGCAGTGCCCTCAGCGCTCAAGGGATGTTTACTTGGGGGAGGGGGTGGGGCTAGGATGGAAAGTGTGACGTCTCTGCAGGCCAGTCCCAGGCTGACGCGGGCCGGCCTGCCTGCCTGCCTGCTGTCTAGAGGTGCACGCTGACTCCTAGCGCGGGCTCCTTGGAGGAGATCCCTCCCTGCAGGGTCCCCGCCAGCCCTAGGGCCTCCCCCCTGAGCCCCACCACCCACCGCCCCCTCCACCACCTGCACCCCCACCTCTCCTATCCTCCCCAAACGAAGAGGAAACAAGGTTGTGAATTAGTCCACTTTTTTCCCAGGGTACGTTCTAAGTGTCAGAAAGCCGCCTGGCACAGTTTCCCCGGGAGCTGCAGCTGCCCGCCCTTGGCCTGCAATCCCTGCCTGCTGGCTTTGCGTATGCTTTGCAAAGGGCACTCTCGGAACCCGGGACCCGGGACCCAAGCCACAGAGGAGAAATTGCTCTATCCGCCCCGAGCCTGGCTGCCCGGGGCTGGAGAACAAGTCCCTGAGAGGAGGGGATGCGGGGCACAGCTGCTGGGAAGGAGGAACCAGAGAGGTCCCCCGTGGGGCAGGGGCAGGGGCGGGGCTGGGAGGGAGGACAGGCACGTGGCTCTAAGCTGCAGGGCCATTCTGTGAACAAATCATTCTCAAAGCAGAGCTCGGTGCTACTCAAGCCTTTGGAGGCTGATATGTCACCTGACAGGTATTTTAACTCAAGCCATTAGTTAAGCCATCTGAGTCTCTGTTTCTTTATCTATAAAACAGAGTGTTAAATATCCACTTCACAAGAGTTATAAGGGTTACATGAAATCATGTCAGTGGAGCGCCTGGGCGCATAGTGAGCACTGCGTTGTGTCGGTTCTTCAGACAGGAAGTGCTACAGGCTCAAGGGTAAGACAAGGCCCCCCCTGGAGGAGCCCACAGTCACCGGGGGAAGCATGTGACCAAGACAGATGGCAATTCACCTGTGCAGCGGGTCAGGGCTCTGAGAGAGGTGCTGGGTGGTCAGAAAGGAACAGCCATGTCGGCTTGGGGAAGAGTCAGAGGGCATCTGGGCTGGGTCGTGAAGGATGAGGAGGAGTTCGCTGGGTTAGCAATAGGGAGGGAATGCATTCTAGGCAGAGAGGACACTGGGGACAAAGGCTAGAAAGATGACAAAAGTTGGTGGGGCCAGAGCTAGTGGATAGAGGGCAGCCAGGGAAAACTGAAACTGGCAAGGTCCATGCGGTCAGAAGACAAAAGGGTTGCCTGTTAGGCTGGAGAGCTGAGGATGTATCTGTCAGTGTCTACATTTGAAATCGGGGGAGTGACATGACCAGATCTCCTTCCGGGGCAGTGCAGAAGGAAGCAGGGAGGTCAGGAGATGACCAGAGTGTCCAGAAACAAAGAGACAAGGTCGGTTCTGAGGGACATTTTCGAGGAAGATTCAGAATCAACAGGATGGGGTGACAGATTGTTTCCACGCTGATGGGACACCAGGACCAAGGTAGGAAATGCACAGAAAGCCTAGGATGGGGGCGGGGCCTGGAATGTCATAGGAAGTTCAGTGTGGACAGGATGAACTGAGGTGCCTCTGAGGCATCCCAGGGGAGAGACCAAGATGTGGCTGGACATAAGGGGCTTCTAGGAACTGAAGACCTAGAAGCTTCCCTGACATGAGTGGTCACTGAAGCTGGGAGGAGGGGGGGGCCCAGTGCCCAGAGAAGAGGACACAGATATACTCTTGGGAATGCCAGGCTTAGAAGGCAGAGAAGCACCTGGGTAGGAGCAGGTGGAGCAAGAGGAGGCTACAGGAGACCCTAGAGAGGGCATCCTGGGGGTCAAGGCCAGATGGGCTTTTAGGAGGGGATGGTCAGTAAAGCCAAACCCTACAGAGGGGTCCATCCAGCCACCTGACAACTAGGAAACCACAGTGACCTTGGCAACAACAGCCACCTCCACAAACCCAGCAAGCACCACCCCCACCTGCAGGAGCAGCCCTGGGCCTGTGCCCCGGGGTCTGAAGGCCCCGTGGCTCGGTTCCCAGCTCTCAGCTCTGGTCCCTGGCTCTCCTCCCTTCCCCCACCTACCAGAGAAAGAGTCCTTGTCCATCGCAGGCAGGTCCCGGGCCTGGTACATGTAGCAGCGCAGATGGTAGCGGTTCCCGTCTGCACCAGGGAAGAAACAGAGATGCCAAGTGAGGGGCTGGAGGCGGCTGAGAGCCAGGGTTAGAGGAAAAGGTGGAGTCTGTCCCTGGGAAGGGCGGCAGGCACAGGCGCTGAACGATAGAAATGGCACATGGCACACTCCGCAGAAGTCAGAACAGACCACAGCTCAGAAGTAGACACCTGAGTGATGTATCCTTGGGTCTGGCGAGAGTTGGAAAGAGGGGACAGAGGAGGAGGAGAAGGGGGAGAAGCTAAATGGATGACAGGAGAAGCCAGAATGCACCAGATCTTGAATGCCCGATTTGAAGCTTAGAGGTGACACACCATACATAGACGGGCATGTGCGTGTGCAGGCACACACACACACACACACACAAGACACTGACTCACCAAAAGAACACAGACTCCATTCTCCACAGCCCCACATACACACCTGAACATACAGCCCCATTCAAACAGAAACAAAAGATCACACACCCAATCATATCACCCCATAGACACCTCGAAGCATCACTTACAGTCGAAGATGCAGGAAATCGTGGGTCTGTTCACGCCAAAGCTCAAGGTGGAGACGGACCGGGAATCCTCACTCCTGTCATCCACCACACCGCCCTGGAGACACAGAGCTGGTCAGGACAGATTCGACCCCACGCCTGAGGGTGACAGGGAGGTTGACCCAGAGGGCCTGGTCCCCAGGTCAGGAGACCTCTAGACAATGCTCCTCGGCTGCTGAGAGCTGGGCCATCAGCCTCCAACTTCACCCTAGGGCAGCTCATCCTCTCCTACAGCCCACAGTCAAGTCCACGGGGAAATTTTTCTCCTCTCTAGTGGAGACCAGACAAGTCAGAATGGAAGTTTGAGTAGTTCCAGTACACGGGGTTGGAGTTTGATAGAAGGTGGGACTTTAAGAGGATCTGCAGGAAAATCCAGTGGTGATCTGCCCACCGGGATGAGTTAAGAAGAGGCAAAGTCTGGAGGGCCCGCTCTAGCATCTCTGTCCACCTGTGAGCCTGGGTTCCTGGGCTCAGGCTGAGGCCGGAGGCAGGGACAAGAGCAGGAGGCAGCGGGGGTCTACACTGAGGCTCAGAAACCAGTCTGTGCTTAAAGCTATATGGTCATTCCCCTTCCCTTGTCCTCATTAGCACTGGGGTCTAACCACTGGGCAATCAACCACCTGCCCTGGGCCCCCTGTCCACCTCCTGATTCAGGGATGCCCCACTGCCACCTCTGCCACCCTGCCGCCACTCATCGCGGTTCTGTGTAGCTTGGGGGACTTGGTGAGCCAACAGGGACCAAGGCCCATACAAGAATAGGAAATGCTCTACTCACACCCAGCCCCGCCTCCCAGCCTGGGCTCTCTATGACATTGGGCCCACCAGCCTTCCTCAGCCAGGAGCTCAGCAGAGGGGCTGGGGAGAGCTGGGCAGCACTCCCACGCTGTCCGCTCCTGCTGCTGTCATGCAGATTTCTCTAAGTCCCTCTCCCCTCTCCCACACCTGCTCCTGGCCCAGTCCCTCTTCCTAGCATACAAGCACACATACCCTTGAAAGGAGACCCTGGCCTCCCCGTGGGTGGCCTGTTCATCCCCCACCCAGGCCCACCCAGAATGGCCACTTCCCAGAGCCGTTCTCCTGGGCAGCCGGGATCCCCACCTGCAAACATTTCCCAAGAATCTCAGCCTAAGGGGGCCCTAAGCTACCCAGTCCCCCAGTTCCTCCAAATACAAAGCACAGGGCCACTTCTGTGCCTCCCTCCCCAAACCACGCCCACCCTCAGGCCCCCGCCCAGACCCCTGGTCCAAGAAGCCTCTCTGGGCGCTGGCCCTCCCACTTCTGATCTGCCCACACCCAGAGCCAGCACAGCGTCATTACCACCGTCACCACTGGCTCCCCGGCCAAATCTTTCGGTGGCTCTCACTACCTGAATGGTCCTGGTCAGACCCAATGACCTGGCCCATCTTCCCATCTGACACCAGGGCTTATTTCCCTCAAATCCATCCTCAGCTTCAGGCCGGCCATGCTCCTCAAAGATGGTCCAGGCTCCCGTCTGCTCCCATCCCAAGCTCATGCTGTTCCCTAGCCAGGAGAGCCATTGATCGTCCCAGTCCTGTCCTGGTCACTCGGGGTCAACAAAGAAATGCATCCGAAAGGTAAGCCAGTCTTCTTCTGCTCCATCCTGAAAGGAGGCCCATAAAACACGCATACTGGAAGGACGTGTTCATCGGCTCTCCCAGGGGACACCAAGGTTCTACTACACCTGGGCAGGCTCTAGCTCCCACCACAGGACACCCCCCTCTCTGACAGAGAGAGGAAGTGACCTCCTTCTTTTGGCCACAACTTTAACACAAGCTCTAGAACCAGATTACTTGGGTTACAATTCTGGCCCTGCCATTTACTGGCTGTGTGACTTTGGGCAGGTTGCTTAACCTCTCTGAACCAGTCTCTGTAAATTCGGGATAATCCTACAGTATCTGTCTCAGAGTTGCTGTGATTATTAAGGAGAAAAATTACATGTTCTTAGCATACCACTTGACACATAATAAATGCTCCATAAATGTTTGCTATTATGAGAGAAATGGGGCACAGTCAGGACAGGGGGGGATTAAGTCATAAACTATGAAGTTAGCAACTGTGCTTAGGGGTGGTATTCATGCATCCCATAGTTGTTCAACATTATTCCGGGAGCTGGAAAAATGGACACTTCAGGAGCTACAGCCCTCAGTCTCTCAACAGACACACACACACACACACACACACACCCCACACGAGAGCAGGATAAGAGGGAGGGTATCATACTACAGACAGGGAAGGCTACTACAGAAAGACCCAAAGGCCAGCAAGCCTGGGTCCTCCCTCCCAGGCAGGTGTGGCCCCCAAGCATCCTGCGTTCCCACGAGGAGCGGCGTCTGGCCTGGCTGTGTGCTGGCATCCCGCCAGACACACACACACACACACACACCCCACACAAGAGCAGGATAAGAGGGAGGGTATCATACTACAGACAGGGAAGGCTACTACAGAAAGACCCAAAGGCCAGCAAGCCTGGGTCCTCCCTCCCAGGCAGGTGTGGCCCCCAAGCATCCTGCGTTCCCACGAGGAGCGGCGTCTGGCCTGGCTGTGTGCTGGCATCCCGCCAGAGCATGCACCAAGTCCAACAGCTAACCGTTCCCAGTTTCAGGGTCTGTGAGGCTGCGCATAGGGCTGGACCTGGGGGGCCCAGCAGGCCACCCCAGGCGTGAGGTGCAGGCACGCCAAGGAAAGCAGATCAGGACGCTGGAAATGGCTTGGCCAGCCCCCGGGTGCAACAACGCATAGCACATGCAGCTCAGTGCACTTTAGTCGGGGAGGGGAGGGGGGAAGGTTCCGCTTGGGGTGGGATTGAAGGTCCAGGACTCTATAGCCCCTTCGCCTTAGCCTGGCAACACACGTGTGCTCCCCTCCTCCCCAAAGGTAGGTAGCTGGGGCGAGCGTAAGGAGCGAGGCCGACTCGGCTGCACACAGGCCCCAGAATTCCTTCTCTCCCTCCAGGTGCCTACAGGGACCTCCCTGCTCGCGGATCACTGCCAGTGCACATCCCCACTCACCTCACACCTCCTCTAGAGGGCCTCCCCCAGCCGCCTCCATCAGCACCACTCCCACCAAGGCTTCTGCCTGGGGCTTTGGCAGAACTTTCTGGGTCTCCGTCCAAGGGCAGGGCCACCGCCTGCGATCAGAAAGGGTGTCCCCCTCCCTGGGATCTCCACGAAGGCTCGCCTAGGTATCTCAGGCCCTGAGAAGGACCATTCTTCAGAGGGAGAAACCAGTGTTCCCTCCAGGAATGCCCCTCACACTGCCAGGGCTCCTCCATCTGTCCTGCCCCCAGAGGAGGGGCCCACTGCCAATGCCCCTGACCACCACCCCGCCATGCCACTTCACAGGCCCTCTTCCATCCCCCACCCCACCCCACCTGCCACCCAAGTATGGCCCTGCCTCCTCCTTCCTCTCTCCCCCAGCTCACAGAGACAGACGGAGTTTGCTGGGAAGAAGCAGGGAGAACAGGAGGTGGGCTGCGGGACACCCACTAACCAGGGCCCTGCAGCTGCCCTGTTTCCCACCCAGGGCAGAACCCCACCCTCAGAGCTGGCCAACGTCTTTACGTCTTCTGACCCTCCCAGGGGGACCTGAGCTCTCCACGCATCCGCTCAGATCCCAGGAGCAGAGGGGAGGCCAGCTCTCCCTCCCAGCCTAGCCGTGGCCTCGAACGGAGTCTCCGGGAGTCAGAACCGGCCTGGAACACACGGTGTGGGTCAGGGAAGGGGAGCTGGCATGCCTCGGGGAAGCTCAGCTCCTGAAGCTCGGGTTCCTCATTGTAAAGTGTCAATTGTGGCAACACCCAGTGCGAGGACTATAGACATGCAGGTATCTCCAACCTTGGCACTCTGGATATTTAGGGCCAGGTAAGTATTTGTTGGGGCTGTGCTATGTGTTGTTGAATGTTCAGCAGAATCCAGGGCCTCTACCCAGTAGATGCCCATAGCACCCCCCAACCCTCGCCAGACATTGTCTAATGTCCCCTGGGGCATGGGGTGGGGAATAGACATTTCCCTCGGTTGAGAACCACTGGTGAATATTACATAAAATGCACCCACTGCCCGTGGCAGGCACCTGGCACTCAGTAAGTGGTGCTAAGGGTGTCAGTTTAACTCCTTCATCTCTCCAGTCTCGTGTCAAACAATACTCTCCCCTCCTTACTGCACGCCCTTCAGCTTTCTGTAACTTTGGAATCCACCACCTTCCCTCTTCCACAGGACCTCTGCACGGGCTGTTCTCTCCACCTTGGAATGTCCTCCCTGATGAGCTAACTTGAGCTCTTCCCTCGACTCAGTCATCACTGAGGCCTAGGCACCTCTTTGACTGCCTTGCCTGCATCAGCGTCCCCTACCCAGCCTCTCCGAGCTTCTCTCCTGCATCCATCTCCCCGTGTGCACACGCAAGACATGCACACTCCTCTCTCCCCTGCACCCAGCCCTGCATCTGGCACTGGGTCACTATCCACTGAAGACTTACCACGTGGATCCCAGCATTCCCCACCCTAAGCCAGGAGTGCATCACCTGGGCCTAAGGTCCCAGGGGAAGGGACAGGAAAGTGTGCATTGGACAGCACCCTCCCACCCTCAGGAGGCTCGGGGCCTGACACCTCTCCAGGAAGGACAAGTGATGTGCATCACTGCACCCAGGGCAGGGCCATCTGCGGGGTGAAAAGACAGTCGTGGGCCCTTGGGAGATCCCATTCAGGAAGTCTCCCTGGAGGAAGGGCACTAAGAAGGTGCTAGAACAGGGAGAGAGCAGCAGCGTGCTGGAGGCCCACCCGTGAGCTCAGGGGAAGACTGGCTAGAGGGGCGAGCTGGGGCAGGGGGAAGACACAGCCCAGAGAGGGAAGGCTGGCTTCCTCTGCGCTCCCTCGGAGCCCAGGCAGAGCCAGGCTGCAGGGGTGGCTGATGCTCCTTTTCCACCCAGCGACCTTCACTCCCACTGCACACGCACCCTCTTCCTCAGCCCCAGGGCCAGGCCCAGGGCATTGGGTTTCCCACAGTCACATTCCTGCCTCCATAGCTCATGGCAATGAGACTCCCG